GATTCTGAAGAGCAGCCACCGGCTTGCGTAGCTTATCGAGATAACTTAGAATATCTGAAAGAGACAAGGTGTTTTAAAAGTTTCAAAGAAAATCGAAGAAGTTTAAATGTTTCTTTAAGATCTCTAATAAAAGTTACATTTTCCGCTTGACTGGAGAAGACGCACCTGACGAATTCCAAACTAGCTGGTTCACGCCAATCTCAACCAGATCATCAATCATCTTTATCTCGGGTTCGATCAGCCTTAGTTCCACCGGTGAGCTGCCTTCTTGTATGCTGTTGTACCAATCGATGGTCTTCTCAAGGTTGAGAATATAAGATCGAAAGACGTCGCTCTTTTCGGCAAAGTCGATGGCAATTTGGGGAATTCCGTCGATCTTCATTTGCTGCATGTAGTGCACCTCCCTCAGAATGGAAAACAAGGCGGCACTGAAGTTGAGGATCAGCGAATTGTGGCGACGATCCCGCGCAATAAGGGACTTCTTCAGATTCTCTTCGATCTGTCCGTCCAATTGGCTGGCCCAGTCATCAAAGAACTGAGTCTTGCAGGAACCCAATTTTACCATGAGGACCTCGTAGCGCTCAACGATTTCCTGGGATTTCTCTGCCTTGGTGATCCTGCAACAGATTTGGGATTGATAAAAGCGCATTAATTCTGGGGGTTAGGAAACTTACTCATGCTGCAATGCCTTGAAGTTCTTGACTGGAGCCGAGATCCGCGTCTCCAGCTGATGGCACCAGCGTATGAAGGCGGCCACTGGTGGACAATTGTAGTTGGGATACAGGTTGTCGCCAAGCTTTTTCAGTTCCATTTGCTTGTCGTAGATAGACTCACAGACGGTCATCTCATCATCGAGCATGCGAACGATTTCGGCATAACGCTGGGTAAACTCCTCTTTGATCTTTGGTCGATCGAGTACACTGCCCACAATGCTAATTAGCTAAGGATATTCATACCAGATGAGTAAAACAGTTCTAGGGAGTTCTAGGGAACTCAAGGTGATACCTTGAAAATACTCTCCAGGTTGTGGCAATCATCAAAGGCCTGGCACAAAATGGCCGCCAGCTTCATATCCAGCTCGAGGATGCGGGTCTGGAAGCCCTTGAAGTCCTCATCGAACTCGTGATCATCTGGGTCGAGGACATCGTAGCTTTTTGAGGCAAAGGCCGTGAAGTATTGGTTGAATTCCACGTAAACATCTGTGATGCGAGTGCTGAGCTGGCGACCACGCAGCCCACCGATTTCGACTTTCTCTAATTTCAGGAATTCAATCACAGTAAAGAAGAACCTTGGCGAAATTCGAGATAAGTAGCAGCCACCATCCTTAAAGGTAATCTATCCAACAAACTTACCATTGAATTGTGGTGAGGCGTTCAAGGAAGGCATTAAAGCGCTTGAAAACTGAATTTGGATGAAAAGTCCATAAAATCGGCGGCCGCTCCTCGGGCTCCGTGAAGAACGTAGCCAGTCGTTCCTTGTAGTAGTCGAATAGCTCCCGGAAGAACTTTAGTATCTGGATGGAAAGAGTGAGTCGCTGCATGGCCTCGTCGATATCGCTGTGGAAAATGGACGAGGGATCCAAGTATCTCTTGGCCTGCAATCGATCAAATATATCAGATGTGGGACCTCTGCCCAGTGTTCCCACCCACCTGGTGTATAATCAAGTTGCATATTTCCTGCAGCAGCACGGTTATTTTCGCCGACTGGCAATAGTAGCGTGAGTTGCCCCACAGAATGCCCACCGTATTCATGAACGGAATGAGCAGCGGCTTGCACTCGGCGAAATCAATCTCCTCCAGGTGCTGAAGTGGGCGCTTTAGGGGGTTCAGGTAGAGTGTGATGTCCTTTGCCTCTGCCAGAGCTGCGGAAATCACCGATTGGCATGCTAAACCCACGTTTCGCGGCACCACACTTACCCGTAACGACGTTCTTGAAGAGGGTCTGGAAGCACGGATGGTAGGCACTCATCGAGTACTCCAGTATCAGGGCCATGGCACGAATGCGCTCGTTGCGCAACTGGTCGTAGATGAACGACAGATTCTTGAGGCGATTGTTCCAAAATGTAAACTCTGATGGCAGGAAGAAGATTACACAATTGAATTTATCAAGGAAATTATTCTGCATATTAGGTGTAATATGGATTTACTATTTGGTATTTTACTATTTATAAAGTCAGGCGATTGATGGATGGTCAGCTATGATAAGTGTAATACATTACTATACATTATGTTCAGTTTAGCTGTATTTGCCGATCTTATTCCACGCTTACTTGTAAAAAAGCGTGAAAATCGGAGGGCATTGAGGTAAATCCAGCCCTTAGGTACGACCATCCTATCAACTCATTCTACTCAATTGTCAATGTCAAATGTGAACGCGTAATAAAGGCGAAACCCCATCAAGTCCTATGACAATAGCATCAAAGGCACATATTGCATGCACGCGGAATGTCATTCGTAAACAGATAGTAAAGCAAGACAAAACATGCAAATTTGGGGGTTGCTAGGATATGGGAGACTTGAATTTTATCAATAAATAATAAAAGGAGGAAGCCAAAAATAAACCCGCCACACGTGGCACCACCACCACCACCTACTCACCCGTGTGCGGTGTTGGATTCTGGCCATTGGCGAAGGCGTTGGAGGGACTCTCCTTGATGACCTCGTGGATCTGGGTGGCCCACTTGATGACGACGCCCTCGATGGCGCTCTTCAGGTACAGATCGAATTGGCAATGCTCCGTTTCGGTCAGCTCCTTGGCCGCCTTCACGATCTTCTCGACGCCCACGGGCATGGCCAGGATGGTCTCCCCGCTGACCTGACCCTTCACCTGGTGCACGGTGCTCTTGAGGCTGTGCACGTGCTTCTGCACATCCTGGGCCACCATGATGGGCCAGCTGCGGTAGTTGTCCTCGTTGGAGAGGAGGGGCACCAGTACCTCCTCCACCAATGCGGACAGCTGGTCAATAGTGCGGGTGGCCAGATCCCCGTAGATGATGAAGTTGCCGCAATCCTCCCGAGGAATTGGCAATGCATAGCGCTTGATGAAGTACACGCCCTTACTCTTCAGCTGTGACAGCGGAAAGGTGGTCGAGGGCACCAGCTGGGCTGCTGGGGTGAGGATGATAATCAGGACCACCGGGGTGTTCCTGTCCAGAAACTCCTTAATGATGCCCTTGTGCTCCTCCACCGTGACGACACGCGTCCACTTCTCCGGCTTCAGCTTCAGGGACTTGATGACAAAGGACCCCATCAGCTCCAGGCGCGGATCCGGGCCACCAGCTGCCGCCGCTGCAGCGGCCTCGGCGCTGGTGGAGGGCTCCATCGTCACCCACTCGCTGGTGGTTGTTTGTGGGTGGGGCGGTTGCTTTGGTGCCTCTGCTCCTGCAGTGGTTGTCTGGTTGTCTGGTTGTTGCTGTTGCCTGTTGTCTGTTGTTTGCTGTGGGGACGAGGTGCACATGCATGTCTGAGTGTTTGGCTGACCTTGTTACCACTAACAACTAGTATATAAAATCGATTAAAACTGCAAATCAATTGGAATTTTGCGGAATTACGAAATATATATTCATAGATTCTATGAAAATAACTTAGTGAAGCTTTGTACTCCCAATTTGAAGAACTTTTCTGTATGTTACATAACAATTTTCACTGGTTACATAAACCTCATGGTGCCAAGACTTCAACTATTTCCTTGGAAAACCAGCTAAATCAGTTGTAAAATGCACCTAACACGTATTGGCTATCAGTAGCTTGATTAGTTCACTAATTTGCAATTCGTTTTATATATTATATGTATTATATGTATATCCCAAAGAGGCTTTCCGCAGGTTTTACTTTTCCAGTTGCGACTGCTTACCTCGGCTGCTGGTAAGCGACTGAATTGATTGTTATTTCCGCTGACGACTTGACACGCACATTCAGGTAGAAAAGTGATCGTGGCAGGACCCGTTGCCAAGGATTTGTTGATTTTTCCCCTGAAATCCTTCCGTGCCCAGTGACTACTGTTTGTTATATCCCCTGTGCCATAAAGCCCGTTGTCAAGTTGGTTGCTAAGTTAAGGGCCATTTGTTGCGCTTATTTCCGTTTTAATGGCCGAATGCACGCCATTTTCGAATTAGGTTCCTTTGATTTGCACACTTTTTTTTGATTGATTGTGTGCTAATTGATTAAGTGGATGTGAACATTAGTCAATGAATATTAATTGAGGCTTACTAATGTCGTGACAATTTATTTTAGCCTAGTAATGTGTGGTTATATCGCAGAGGAAGTGACTTTGCTATGGAAATGTAATTGTAATGGTGTTAAAATTTCTTTAAGTATACTTTTATAATTCACCTTTATGGTTTGCCAATCTTTTGAAAACAAAACACTCATAATTTTTACCCAAGTTATGTTGATCTGCACTCTACCCCTGCATTTTACCTCCAACAAATGCAAAATTAGATGTCAGAATAGGTAAACGATGTACACTTAGTCTTGCATTTTACCTCCAGTAAATGACAAATTAGATGTCAGAATAGTTAAACAATATGAATCTGCAACATGCACCTCACTAAGCACGCAAAAGTCTTAAAAAGTCAATCAAGCACCTGTCCGCAAATGGTTTGGATAAATGATTTCGGAGCACGACAAGAACTGTTGCTTCAGAATCGCAACAGTTGGCCAGGGGAATTGCCTCAGCTAGCACCATCCAAGTAAATCATTCGTAGTTCCCATAATTTGTAGCCCCTTGTTATGGAAACTGCAAGCGCAAGCGCGATTAACAAGTGGTTGTAAACAAAAAAAGCCACCTGTTGCCACGAAAGCAACAAGGTGCACAAACATGCCTAGAAAGCAACAGATAATTGCATGACTTCCGGCTGTAAAAGTTTTTCCACTTTTCCATTTCCATCTGAGATTGAACAAGGCCTAGGTCGCGGAATGTGTCTCGTGCTTTGGGTGATGGTTCACTGAACTGCAGACCCCAAAAACCGCACCACATTTATGCAAGCAGTCAGCCAAGCCTGAAAATCAATAAGCTTATAAACAGAAGCCAGCGTCGGTGGCTCCAACCAGTTGATTGGCGACCATGTGGCAGTTGGCATTGGGACTGGGTCTAATCCAGCAGCTCAGTCTAGCCATCGTGGTGGAGCGCAACATGTTCGCCTACTACAAGGTGCCAGCTGCTCAGTTGCTGTTTACTCGGTTTGCCCAAGACTCGGATCCGGACTTCGACTCCCACTCCCAGGAAATCAGTACTCTGGATGGAGGCCAGCTCAGCGATTTGTACTATGTACTGCAGTGTCCACCAAAGCTCGATGAAGGCATTCCCAAGGCGCGGGACATGCAGACCTGCAGTGTGGTGGACCAGTACAGAGGCATGTGGAAAAAACCTACAAAGCCAAAGCCCAAGAAGCACTTTCACATGGTCCCATTCCGGATAGTACTGCGTCCATTAGGACCGCCGGCCAGGAGACGCAGTCTAAAGCGTCGTAAACGCCAGGAAAAAGTTCGCAAAGCTCCGGACAATAACACTCCGGTTGATCGGGCTGCTTCCAAAGTGAAGATGGAAGAGGTGACTAGTCCCCTTCAATTCCTGGGACGCACCCATAAGCAGCAGAAGCTCGTTAAGCTGTCCGCTGACCATCGAAAGTCCAAGCGGGGCACCAGATCCAAAGCTTTCCAGCATATGTACCATCGCGATGAGTCCTACAATGATCATATATTCTACGACGAGCTTCAGGAAGACGGGGAGTTCCACAAGCTCGGCAAAGAAAAATCGAATTAAATGCTATTATTGGGGTGGATATCAGAACAGGCGGAAATATTTATCTGAATAAACTTTCAGGTTGCAAAGCAAAGTTACACGTTTATTGGGGTTTCCAGGATCTACAAACCTTGAACCTTGAAATATATCAATAAAAGTTCTAGTAGTAAATGTGCATTAAGGCAATCATACCTACGTAGGCGCTTTTACTAGGACCCCAACCGAAAGTCAACGTGAGGAAGAAACATATCATCGTAGGCTACGTTCTGGAACACCTTGTTTAGCAGGACACTAAAGGCATCGGTGAAGGATTTGACTAGGGGGGGCTGCAACTCATTCCATAACTCCACCCAGTTATCGTTGACCAGCTTATTCATGAAAAGACTCACGTCCGTGTTTTCCTTGTACAGCCCATCCAACCATAGGATCCATCTAGAAGGGGGAGCAGAAGGTTAATCAGGGAACTCTGCTCATTTGCCATGCAATTACCGATCCAAGTCGAGGCTGGGCACCAGACTGTAGATCTTCAGGTAGCGCTTGTCATTCCTGTACTCCACCAACGCCTTGATGGTCAGGGTAATCCGGAAGTTCTGAAAGTCGGATGACAACTTCCCAGTGGTATTGAAGGCGAATAATAAAATCCTGCCACTCATTTCGTAGGTGGCCTCATGCAAGAGACGCGGCAAACGGACCTGCAGCACAATTTGCTTCTGATTGGGCTCGTACAGGAAGCCCTCGACGTGGGTGATTGTGGCATTATTGAATCCCTTGTTCACGTTGTTTCGCATTCGAAAGTCCATCCAGATAGGACCGTGACTGGGGGATTCCATAATGACAGAATCGGAAAAGTTGTAGGCGTCCAGCGGCGGGAGTCCTATCTCGGGAATGCCCTTGGGGTAGTGCTTAATCAATGCATTGATACTTCTGACCAGGCAGGTTGTGTCTCCGAAATGGCACTTTTCAACATCTTCGGCTGGAAATGTTCATCTCGGTTAGAATCATATCAACTTGGCACTGAAAACCCACGCACGTAAGCTGGCTCCTGAGATTATAGCTGGGATACACCAATACAAGGAAGCCCACAAAATCAACTTGTCCATTGCATTTGCGTACTTCAACTGACTATGAAACAATAAACACCTCGGTCACGAAATAGTAAATTGAAATCGAATGCTTAGAACCTGATCGAAGGGGAGCTTTTCAACTGTCAACAATAAAGAATGTAATGCTAATTCATAGCTGCAACCGGTTTTAAGCAGTATTCATCTTTGTCCTTTCAAGTCTCTAATAAAACAGCTTTAATCACCTTTAATCGTTTACTTCGAACTCTTTGGAAACCGGTAAGAACATGTCATCGTATGAGACCTTTTTGAAAATATCCTCGAAAACTGAGCGGAACACACCCGCGAATATTTTCAGGTTTGTAGGCTCTAGCTCGTTCCAAAACTCAACCCAGTGCATATTGAACACCTGATTAATGGCTATCGTCAGATCCGTGTTTGATTCGAAAAAGTTGTCTAGCCAGAATACCCATCTGAAAGCAATGCTTGGTCAGTTTATATCGTAGGCAGTTTATATACACTGGTCGCAACTCACCGGTCCATGGTCACAAAGGGGCTTAGTTCGTATATCTTCAAGTAGCGCTTATTATTCCGATACTCCATTATGACCTTCAGCTTAAGAACAAAGCGAAAGTTCTGAAAGTCCGAAAGAGATTCCCCCGTGGAGTTCATATGTACAATCCACACTCTTCCTGTACTAAAGTAGTCGCCCTTGTGGATGAGACTGGGTATCCGGCCATGTATTTCAATCAAGCTGGATGTGGGATTCTCATCGAACCCTTTCACCTTTGTGATCGTCGTGTTCTCGAAGCCGTAGTTCACTTGGTTGAACAGATCGAACTTTAACCAGAAGGCGCCTACCATTTCATCATTCCAAAACTTCGAGTCCTTAATGTCCACCAAATCTATGGGCTTCAATCCGATCGCTGGAATGCCTTTGGGAAAATTCTTTATTACGGCATTCATAGAATTAACGATGCACTTAGAATCTCCAAAGTGACACTTTTTAATTTCCTTTGCTGGGGTACCGAGTTATAAATAAAAATCTATTATTCCTAAAACAACAAAAACGCGATGCCCGTTTTTTGTTACCTACGCAGTATTTGGCCCTGCAACGATCCGATGATCAGAAGGAGCACCAAAACGATCATTGTTTCTCTCATTTTTATATATTTGTGCCACTAATATTCCATGTTGACTTCTAGTGCCTTCAACCGACGACTTTGATTTGAAACTATAGGTGGAACAACAACTTGAACTTAGACGTGCGCTTAGTGCAACCGGTTTTGTTGAAAGCTCAACTTGCCCTATTTGCATTCCAAATATTCAATGAAAATCAATTTTATTTGTAATGATGATGATTTGTACAATTGTAGATAGTAACCTTAACAACATCTTTAATTATGCCAATTAGGTTGAAAAGCAAAATGCTCCAAGAAGATCATTACAAGTAATCGAATTCAAACCTTTCGACAATCGGAAAGCTCTTTGTTCTTTCTGACTGAAGAATCTGTAAAAAATATACTGCAAAAAGGTATTGAAAAGTATCTTAAATGTTTTTATTCGGAACATTACGCGCCATCGTAATCATTTACTCTACTCAATATTCAATAATGCGTCAGCCAAATCAACAGGTTCATATTCTGAATAATTCTTACCAAAGTTTTATCAGCACAACCAAATTAGCTAAAACTGTTCGATTATTATGTTCACATAATTGACTACTTATTATATAAAAACGATATTCGTAGAAATTAAAACTGATATTAAATATTTTATAAACACTTTCTTTTCAAAATTTTCGATTATTATTATTGTATCGGTATGGTTATTATGCCTTCAGAAGTCGATTTCTATCTGGTTGAAAGCTTTGTTCATTTAATTTGCAATTTAAATTTGAAACACTAATGAAAATGAAATTTATTATGCAATTAAACAATTACGAAGTAAGGATTTAATAATATAATGTAATAATATATTATATAATATTTTTAAATCGTATTAATTAGTCTTACTTAGAAGCTTCTAAGCATTAATTGCCATTAGTAGTAAATTGGCCAATCAACTTACATTTTATAACAAGTATGACTCTTATATTCCAATTGCAGTTTTCAAAGGCCAACAAATAAAATGCGCATAAATCGAGAACCAGTTTTCATATCATATACATTTTTCCCCTCAAACTTACTTAATACGGTAAGCTTAGCACAAGATTCACGATTCGTGCGAATTTGTGAACCTACTTAATTTTTACTAGAAATTACGTTTAAGTACTAAACCTTAGATTACTTTGAGTCTTCATTGGATAGGAACAGATCATCGTAGGGTACTTCTTCGAATAAATTCTCAAATAGACTTAAAAAGACGGTTTCGAACAGACGCAGAATACCGGGCTCTAGTTCATTCCAGAACTCCACCCAATTCCGATTAAACAGATTGTTAACTGCTATGGTCAGGTCTTCATTGTCGGGAAAGAAGTTGTCTAGCCACATAATCCAGCTATTGAAAGGAAAACAAATGCGGTATTACAATAAGAATGATGTAATGTACTAGTAATGGCGAATTTTAAATCTACATTAATACAAACAAATAAACTTACCGGTCCAGCCTTATATTAGGAACTAGCTCGTAGATCTTCAAATATCGCTTGTTGTTCCTGTACTCGACTCGCACTTTCAGCGTAAGAATGAATTGGAAATTGAGAAAATCCGACTCCGATGTTCCCTGAGAATGTATATCGACGAACCAGAGCATCCTACCCTTGGCCACATAGTCGCCCTTGTAAACCAGCCGGGGAATCTTTCCGTGAATTTCGATCTTGGTGGCGGTGGGATCCCTGTCGAATCCTCTGATCTCCGTGATGGTGGTATTCTCGAAGCCGTAGTTCAGCTGATTGATCAGGTTGAAGTAGTACCAGGCACCGCCCACCTGGGAATCGTTGACCAGCAACCAGTTCCGCACGGGCAGCACATTGAAGGGTTTCAGATTGACCTCGGGAATGCCTTTTGGGAAATCTCTCAACAGTGCATTTGCCGACTCCACCAGGCACTTTCCGTCACCGAAGTGGCATTTTCTCACCTTGGCAGCTGTGGAAGAAGGTACTTTTTAGTCGGTTCTATTGGGGACATTTCATCATTTCATAAAACACCCACGCAACTTCTGGCACTGCAGTCCAACGAACAGCTGAATCGTAATAACCACGTAGGCCAGGAAATGCATCTGATAGCGGAATAAATCCTCCACAGGTAACGCTTAAGATCGCAGTAGACCGATGCACTTGCATAGCCGATGGCAACTGCTTGGTGAACAAAACCGATTTGTTGTAAAGCCGGGCATTCATAAGGAAATCTAAGCAGCACCCATTATCATAACGTGTTATCCAATAGCCTATGTGTTATACACTTACTGGAAAAATCACTTATTTGTAAAGTGTTTAAAATAAAGCGCAGTACTGTATATTAAAGTAGAAGTCCACCAATTCTTCTCAGTGCTGGAATAAAATAACTAACTGCTTTAGTTACCACTGCCGTCCCGAACTCTCCCCTTGAAATGGATCTAAGCTGAAAAGCTTCCGATTTCTAAGCTTTCACCACACCTGGACAATATTTCCAATCTATTAACACAGATCTGCGCATTTGCAACACAGAAATCAAGTAAACGTAGTTGATTTAATAGATTTCAAGAAACATATCTTTACGGTACTGCTACGAATATTTTCTTCAGTTACGAAAAGATCGACTCTCCGGTTCTAGATCGACCCAATACGGTGATATCAGTGTTTTCCACGAAGAAACTGTGCAAAATAAGAATATACAATCATAAAAAGTGCTCAGACTAAATTTTGTAATTTGGCAATGTAACTCAACCTTTGAACGCCTCGGACGTCGACGAAATCGCTGGATCATCGTCATCCTGATCAAGAATATATACTTTATATGATCGGAAATGCTTCCAAGTTCCTGAATCCAACTGAAAATCATGTATGTACAATCCTATATATCCTTAAAAGCAAATAAAATAGCACCGATCCAAGTGAAAGTTAAGACATATGCTTTGAGTTAATAGTGAGTATTTAATAAAAAACCGAAAGTTTTGAAAATCTGTAAGAAATTGTGGTATGAAATAAAGACTCAGCGATGACCTCTAAGTACTAAGAAACTTTTGAAAGCGTTTCATTAATTTAAGTTAACTAAGTTCGACCATACTCATTTGAAGATCGGTAATATCCAGATTTAGTATTGAATCATTTTTTTTTTATGTAATAAAATCTGCACAATAATTCTAGATATAAATCAAATATGTGTTGTATTTCTAATCCCGATAGAAATCGTCATATGGTAACTTGTTAGCTACTCGCTTGAGTATCGACTCCACCAATCGATCCACTGCAGAGGTGATACCCCTGCGAAGGGTATGCCAAATTTCCAGCCACTTCGTGTTGGCCACAACGTTCATGGCTTCGCTCATGTCTGGGTTATTGAAAAGATTGTCGAAGTTCATATGCATGCTGACAAAAAGAATTTTTGTTAGAAATCACTCGAAAATCAGCTTGAACTGCAACATTACCCCTGCACATCCAGCAAGCACTTGACCTTGGCTATCCCAGCATATACCTTGCCATCGCCTCGGAGATCCTCCAAAACCCGCACCTTGCAGCGAACGCGGCATTCCTTGATCTCCACCTGGGCTTGGCCCTTCCCGTGAATGGGCATCGTCAGCAAACTGCCACGCATCTCGTAGAACCCATCGAGTTTTAGCAGTGGAATCCAGCCAATTAACTCCAGGACCCGCGGCAGATCCGCTTCGAATCCCTTTGCCTCCGTTACAGTAGAGTCAGCGAATCCTATTACGGTTAGGTTATGGAAACTCAAATCCAAAGTAGAGTGCCCATCTGGTTCCATCCGACTGACGACTACATTCTCGAACCCAATTGAATCCAGAGCATCCAATCCAATGGAAGACAGACCATTGGGATACAAGCGCAGAATCCTGGTCACTGTTTCAGCTATGCAGATGGAATCGCCCGCTTTGCACTTCTCGATTTCAGGAGCTAAAAATTGTTTAATTTCCAACAGTCCATTTCTGTATCCTAGGTATATCCTTCCACTTACGCAACTGTCCCAAACTTGGAGCCATCCACAGGCAGCAAACAAGCACGATTAGCCACATTTCGATTTCGTTTAGGGCTAATTAATGAGTGGCTTGCGACTAACTATTTGCTTTTATAGGCCATTAAGCATCGCCTAACAATTGCCGGTTACATGCAAATGCAAATCAGTCAATAATCACTTCGATGAATGGATATATTAGATACTCACGCCCACGCCCACACCTGACACCTAACACTTTGTTAATTGAGCGATCCGATTGCCTCATTAACCTTTTGGGGCAGTCATTTTCACTTTCAGTCACCTAATCGGTCGTTCCACTGATTTTAATTACAATAAAACATAACAGCGGTTTGCTGATGGGCTTGGATAACCGCAGGCTCTGACGTAAGTCCCTAAAATATCTTTCAGTGTTTTCCGAAGCTTGTGTGTTTCAATTTGCATGTTATTTACAGCTTAAATCTTTTAAGCTTAAATACAAAGACCAATAGGGCACTTGTTTCTTAATATAATACAAATCTTTATTTATACCGATTTTTGTACACAACAATTTTTAAAATATTTTATGCAACTATCTAGGAGACGGTGGACTCCTCTGGACCTTTAGTTTCCATTAAAAAGTGCAGATTTAAAGACGGAGTTCATAGGTTAAACAGTACAAAATAAATACAAAGTACAAAGTTTCATTTTTAAAACATTCGATAAATAATTGCTCACATACGTTCAATACATAGACACACAATTATATCATTTTACAGGCAAATTTAAATACGATTAGACAATTGATGTGGTTCGATTTACACTCAGTTAATTTCACAGCCTTATTATTAGACTTTTAAACTATTTGCTTTAATTAGAAGTGCCTTCGTTTAGTGATAATTTAGAGGATCTCATGGATTTTCTATTTTGTCTCTCTGCGCTTCTCAGTAAGTAGAGTTCATAAACCATTTTTGGTACGCTTTTCAATTAGAATTTAGTTATTGTGTTACACTGATCCCAGGTCCTCTCAGAGAACCTCTTAAATAAGTATACCCGAAGCAACAGCGGACGCCAACCCAATCCCCGCCAGCCAGGTCGAACCGGAATTTAACCTGGCCCCGGAGAACTCTGCCACATTGTGTCCGTTGTCGAGTGGTTTGTTAAGGCGGCGGCATTCAGGGAACCGATTCAAATGCCACCGCTAGCTCAGGACGACGTGCTGACCCCCAGTTCCGTTTAGATTGCTGCTGGGGCAGCCAAGCTCGTTGTTGTTGCTGTTGGTGAAACAAACCTCCTCACTGCCATCAGAATCAGTGCAGCACAGTAATGGCTACGCATCCTCGCCAGCCAAGCCCTCTGGCTCTTGGTCCGAACTCGTGGCAATCCTGCAAGGAAAGTCGCAAAAAGATTTTATAAATGAGTGATGGTTGGTGGTTGATGCAAGGGAGTATGTCCTGTGACTTTGGGTGCGAATCTCTCGGCAATGCAAACTTAAAGTATGACAAAGTTACAGAAAAAAACATGTATGTACAAATTTCCAGAGGCTCTCTTCGATTGAGAGGGTCGACATAAAAAGGTTCTTCAAATTCAATTAGCCGAAAACAGTTGATACTTTACAAACATTTCTATTTAATGATACACGCCGAATAGTGCTATGGCGACTTAAGTAGTAGCCTTGATATACATATTAGTAAGGGTTTTCATTATTACTTTGTATTATTTTTATTAATAAACATGTATGTATTTATATTACTTGTGTATTACATACATATTACCATCTCTTAAATAACGAAAATAAAACTGAATATAAAACAAGTTCATCCCATCGATGCACAAAAGCCCAATAAAACAAACCTAAACTTCAAAAACAATGCATTACGCGATTCCTAGATAAATGTCCAATTTATATATGCATACATACATACAGGATAAAAACACAGCATATGTTCCGAATAAACATAATATCTTGTCTATACAAATTGATCGTGATGGCCTTATTGTAGATCATTTTTCGACTGACAAAACTATATTAGTGACGATTTCGATACCTGGGTATACCAATAACTATTTTAAAAATACATTTTAAAGTATTTCGTTATAACGCCACTGATTTAACAATCTATATGTAAAACCCTTTTCTACAGCCTAAAAAAATACATGATTTAAAGTAAGCTAAAACTCAATTTGAGTCACAGTCACATAAAAAGTTAGCCAAAACAGATATAAACGCATCGTGAAATTCAAAAACACATTTTAATTCACACGTAAACAAACATACGAAGTAAAAACCACCAGAGAACACAATATCGAAATTGCCATTTTTATTGTCCGGATAAGATACTGGAAAATGTTATGAAATTCATTTATTTCTAAAGTTAATAAATTATGTCTACTACTATACATACGAGTTCTAAAAAGTAAACAATGATTTACAACGCTTCGAATATCAACAAAATGTATACAAGAAAGTAAGTACGTACAATTCGTTCAATAAATAAGCTAGACAGATCATATAAAGTGAAAATACTTAAAGCGCACAATCTTAGACCATACATTTTCTACAACATTTGCATAAAGTACTTGGGAGTAAGTTTCAAACGTTACAATCGGCTTTGGAAAGCTGAGGAAATTACACTTAAAACTATCTTAGTTGGTTTCGTTGGGTGAGATTCTGGTTTGGATTCTGAATGGAGTGTCTTGCGGCTCCATTATCGTTAAGCGTCAGCTCGCTATATACATTATAACCAGGATCCGATCCAGATTCGAAGTGGTAGTAGTAGTACAAGTTGTTGGGTCACCAGGCAAAGAGAAAAAATCAGTTTTGACCAGCACATTTTGGGGCGCCGCGCATTTTGCCCATGATATTTTTAAAGTCAAGTGAGTAAAAATGGATTTTTATTTGGGTACCCTCTTAGTTATTTCAACGGTCATGGCACGCGTTCTACAATTGATCAATTACAATTCAGCCAGTTCAACAACTTCGATATGGGTTACGTTGCATTGAAATTTTGCATATTATGCGCAATTCTTCGGGAACCAATTTTGAAAAATTCAATCAAAAGTTTTGAAAAGTAATTTCAATTTGTTTGTATCAATGCCAAAAAATCCATTTCCTCACAAAAATAAAACACATTTTTGCGGTCGTTGCATGTGTGCGTGTTTAGAGTGTTCGTGTTTAAATTTGTTTTTGTGGTTGTCAATTGGAAATAGTTCGTGGATTCAGTTGTAGTAGTTGTTTTGTACATTTGTTTCGCACATATCAATTAACCACAAATGAATGGGAAACGCAAAACATCAATCAATCCAGCCGTGTTGTATACACACCGAGTATAAGTGTAGGGTGTATGGTGTATAAGATAGTACGGATAGTGAGAGGGACAGTGGTGAAACACACAGACACATACAGAAAGGGCAGGGTTTCCAAGTACATATAATAAAAGAAATACATATGTTGTGATTCAGAATTATTTGGAAATTACCCACATTTATTAGGATTTCTAGTTATTTTAGTGGTATTTAGATGAAGAATGAGCCACGCCCAATGTGCTTTCCGTCCATTACCAAAAATATACTTAAAATAATCTAAGATAAACTCGTATCTCATCACTTACTTAAATATAATTTTTGTATCCAATTGTTTTCTTAGTTCGTACTAATTCCTTGTACACGTGCAATATGTGCAATACAATACCAATCATTAAATGGCTTATTTTCACACTTATGGCCAAATACCAATTACCAATAAATTGAAAGACTTCTCAAGGAATACTTAACGATAATAGCAACTTTATTTAACATGCTAAGCGCCAAAGCCTTATGAGTACATAATACCCGTTGCTCGATAAAGCAATCGCCGGAGACTTACCATAGTCAAGCTTACTATCTATAGGACCACATCTTTGATGGGTAAATGCTTTTTATGTACAATCGTAATTCTCCTAAAGACATGCCTTACAAATGCTTAGAGGGTTGCGTAGAGCCCTACTAGGTACGTGTTAGTAGTGTTAAGCGTGTGATTTAGTGTTAATATCACAAGGGTGTGTGGGGGAGTTTGGCCTGAATGAGTCACCGGGATGATTCAGTTAGGCACTTTCTCCGAGACGGTATCAAGACCTTTCACCGTGTTAGTAGCTGATTCGCCTACAACTAAGGTTACATCACTGTGAAGAATCGAGAGAAGAGAGCACAGCAAGATACGGGTTGGGGGTTTAGTTTCAGTTCAAAGTTCGTAACCAAATGTAGATTAGTAAGGCAAGAGATAGAAAGTAATACAGATGAGATCAGATTAGAATAAATGGGAAGACAGGCTAATTTGGTTGAAAGCAGAGCAGGTAAAAATAAAATCACAAGCTAAGGGTTAGAAGAGATAGCTATTAAGGAAGGAGATGCAGATCGAGAGTTTGTGCATTCGAGTGTGTTTTGGATGGTTATGTGGTTGGGTGAATCAAAAATCGGGAACATACCTGGCATACGTCGAGTTGGCGTTCTTTATCGAAAAGCTGTTCTGGCTTGGCAACACGAAACGCTGCACCCACTGTAAGCAGAGAATACCTTGAGTACCAGTTGATGAAGTAGGCATAAGCCCTCAAAGTCCCCAAAGAACCATATGTGGTCAGTCACGTAATTTGATAAAGTCAGTCTGTTAATGGCGTTATCTGTGATGCTTTAAAATGTGTCAAAGAGTTCGCCTAATTTGTGATTCTCTAAGCCCGCTTGATAAGTGACCGAACTACTTGCGTCCAAGTACTTACCCGGCTGTTCATTAGACGCTGATTGCCCATGCAGGCAGCCATGTGTATCACAAGGTAGAGGTTGAACAGTATATACAGAATGGCAAAAATGCCTGCGATTAGCAAGAGGAAGAAATACATTAGATTCGGTTTAAATTGTAGCAATTGACTACTCACAGACTAGAGCCAGCAAGCCGCCTTTTATTTCCATGTTCTCTACTTGCACCACCACAAAGTACAAATTAACGCCAATCACAACAATGGTGAGCAGTATGGATACGATTTTGTTGCCCCTGTGAATACAGAAAGTTAGGGGATGTCCGATAATCAATTAAAAGTGTCTGTATCACTTACAGTCCATTGACGAACTCGCCCATTATGGCGGCGCACGAGGT